ATCTCAATCACCAATTTTATAAGAAGTATAAAGCCCTTAGAAGGAGCATAGAATCAGCACTCAAGAAATGTGAACTGTCACTGGTAACAGTAGTAGCATTAGTATTTTTAAATACTGCCTCGGGGCATTGATGACTCATCAGGAAGTTTGGCAGGCATTTTGATGGTCCTTATCCAATATAGAAGAGAGAGATATTTTAATTCTCACTGCTTTACTGGAAGGCCATCCTCTTGGTGCTTGTGACATTTTCATATTCCGATTCAGTGATTAAGAATCACGATGATCACTTTAATTGTGGAACAGATTAAATATGTTAGTTTTGGGAAACATATCCCATCGTATCTTAAAAGGTCTTCTGATCAGTTGCATCATTTCTTTAAAATCTTAGAAAATGTCCATTAAAAATTATATCAAACTTCTACATAGATAATTTAAAGTAACAAAATACAAGTAATAGTCTTCTCTGTCTTTCTGTGTTTTGTTCTTTATCACAATTTGCAACAACTTGAGAGGGAAACCAAAGGAACTGTTGGAAAACAAAACATAAAATATAACTTGAGGCTTATTCAGCAATTTGAAATTTTGTTCTGTACCCATGTTGATAAAATGTATATCTTTACACTCATCAGGAGTTTGTAAGTCTAGCACTATAAAGATTCTTAAAAATGCTAGTCGCCTTGTTCAATCTATATAGTCTAAGCTATTTGCAAGTTTCAATTATTGTCAACTTTTTTACATCCTATAGATTTACTAACATATGCTCCTTGGAACTGCTATCTTGTGTAGAACACCTACCTCCATCGCCAAAGATAGAGTTGGAAATTTATAGATAGCATACTGTTTCTGTAATATGTAGTAACAAGTACTCATTTCAAACAAACTAACTGGCCCTATAAATTTAGCATAAACAAAATGTATACATTGATGAGTGTTGATGACTAATCAGGAAGTTTGGCAGGCATTTCATAGTCCTTATCCAATGTAGAAGAGGGAGGTATTTTAATTCTCACTGCTTTATTGGAAAGCCACCCTCTTGCTAAAACAAACTAATTGGCCCTATAAATTTAGCATATACAAAATGTATACATATACAAAAATGTATACGTACATATTTTTGAGTGATAACTAAGAGCAAAAGCTTCAGCGTAAATAAAAGACAATGTTTGTGGAATGTATGTCTGCCTTTCATAGCCATGACAGCAGTAGTTTCCCAATGTTATTAATATATTTTCTGATGTTTGCCTAGACTGTTCTTCCCAGAGCTAGCCAATTCCTGGAGATAGTAAAGGACCTGGAAAGGCTCAATCCAGAGCCCTTACTTAACCCCAGCTGCCTCATTTATTGAGCTCTTACACTTCTAAGCCTCTCTCTCCAGCCTGTATACCAAGGCTTGGTCCCAGACTACAAGAGACAGTTCTACGGCCAAGAGCCCTCCCGAAATTATTTGAGCCAGCCAGTCCTAAACCTGCTTACCCTGAGGTAGGCTGTTCCTTCCCAGGGAACCACTTTGAAGGCCCCTGCCCACATTTTACCCAGCTCCCTCTGTCTCCTGACAGACCCTGTGCTGTGGTTCCCGGTGGCCCTTATGGCATGGTAACAAAGCTATGTGTTCAGTGGCAATCATCTCCCCATCTGTTGGCCTCCCCACACCTGAAAAATAATAAACCCCCATGGTAGAACACGTAGATCTATGTGTTCCCTTGAGAGGAAGATGAAAAAACAGACTGTGCTTCTCTGACAGTCTTCTCTTAAACACTTGGTGAAAGAATATCTCTAAAATTAATAGCATAGTGGTAGATATGCTTTCATCTTTTTATAAAGGTATTTCAAACTGACATAGTTTTTACTTCAGTATTGTTATTCGATATTCTTCAAATATATATGTTTTATTTGTCATTTATTTTCTTCAGGATTACTCTTAATATTTGGTATTTAGAATGATAACTAATTCTTTTTGTTTTTCCATTTCAGTAAACAGTTCAAGAAAACTTTATCATACAAGGTAAATCCAAAAAGATCTATATGTCTTCTTAATATACTGTTTTTAGTCCTGTCTTTATATTTTTCCCTTTCAAATTCCTAACGGAGTAGGTAATCTGTAGTTATATTTGAATTCCTCGTGAACATGCTAAAAAATACGGCTTTTTTTTCTTTGTCTTCCTCAATCCAGGTTAACTTTTCAAGTAGGTGACAAGATTTGTGAAGGGTTTGAGATTTTTACCGTACCTGAAAACTAAAAAGGTAGCCTGCCACAGTGAATGCTGGCAGAAGAGATGGGACTCCTAAGTCAAAAGCAAAAGACAGTTTAGTGCCCACAGCAGTAGCAGTGGCCAGAGCACTGTCATTTGCACTCTGACTTTCTGAAGCCCAGTGCCCCCAGGGCTGAAGGAAATGGGCAAGTGACATCCTCTCTTTGTTCCAGAGGGAGACACTATATACATTTTTCAAAGCTGTTCATTCTGTAAACACACTTGAAAAGATAATGGAGAACAGGAAAATTTTTCTGTAAAAAGTCAGATAGTAAATATCTTTAGGCTGTGCAGGCCACAGATAAATCTCCCTATAATCTTCTTCATTGTGCTTGACATTGTTACAGTTTTTGTTGTTGTTCGTTTACAACCCTTTAAAACAAAAACTTTCTTAACTTGGAAGCCATACAAAACAGGTCTCAAGCTGGATTTGGCCTGTGCGCCATAGTTTGCCAACCCCTGATCTGGCACAAAGACAGGTATTGCCTCTGCTTGTAAGACATGGAGAAACACACAGACCCATGGAAAATTGTGTCCCCAAAGTAGTGAGAACATCACAGTCTTGAGTCACCAGTCTGAGTAAAACAGTTTCCAATTCTCCAACTATCACTGCTAACCAATTAATTGGTCAATAATATGACATAATATAATCTAAGAAATAATATTTGAAAAAAAACATAAATTATTCTATCGGAAGTTGTTAAATTAATTTGGTTTCTTAGTTCAGTTAATTATGGTTTTTGCACAAACTCACTAAAAACATATAGTCTCATTTTATATGCCAGCCCCTACATTTTAGGATTTTTACCTTCATCAGACAGTGAAATAGTGAGGTGCAGTGACCTAAAAATGTGTATCAGCTCAGCAGTTATATCTCCTTCACCTCTTCTTTACAACATTATGACTCTTACATGTCCACCTCCAATTCTGTCTCCCCCACCCCACTGCCCATATCCTCCTCCCCTTCCCAGCCTTGCCCCCACTCCCCCACCCCATCCCCCATACACATATGCTCAGATACCTATGGAGTGGTTATGCTTTCATCCAGAACCAGAACATGGCTGTCATTTGCCCTCTAGTTTTAAAGTTTGAAAGTTTTCGTGTCCTGTGGAACTGTACAATTTGGAGGGAAACATTAAGACCCCAGAAACTATTTGCATAAGATTCGAAACTTCTCCTTTCTCTCACAAGCCCATGCCAAAAAAGTAAAAACGAACTAGGGAGAGCAAAGCCTAAAGCTAGACCTCTGTTTTTAATCCCTCCTTGAGTGATGCTAGGTAAAGCAACCAACAAAAGGACATAGGAACAGCACCAAAGGTGTTGAGAAGATGCGGTGCCCACAGTCTCACTGGCTGGAAAACTGGGTAAAAGCTGTAGAGTAGAAACTAGGCACACAAACTTTTCCAGAGAGCAACTCCTCAGCACCCTGGTTCATAATCATTACCTCCTCTTCCAAAAGCTGCTTGATTTTTCAGTGTCTCAGGACTTAGTATCCAAATATCTTGCGAGTCACTTTGGAAGTATTTGTCTTCCTGGTTCAATGTAGCCAGAAACGTTACTGAGTACCTACTTGGGGTCTTGACCTTTGAGAACTTAACTTTGACTGAAGAGAACGTGCACCCAACTAATTCCAATAAAATATGGAAAGATTTATCAAGAGAATACAAAAGAATTGAACCTTACCTGATTATAATTGCCTTGACACTACCTTTATATAAAATGAATCTTAATTTACAAACACCATAAGTATAAGGGATGTGCTTTTTCTTGCCTTTTCTTCAAATCATATAATTCTAAATTCTTCTGTCCCTTTGTTGATGCCAGTTTGTTGGTGGGAGCGTAATAAAAGTTATTCATTTAAACCATTTAAATAAGTTGCCCACCTGTTGCCATTAAATCATTGAACTTTATAGTGAGCATTAAAATGTTTTTTTTTAATGCACAAAAGTTGAGACAAAGATATCCTTTTTAGGCCAGGGACAGTGGCTCATTTCTGTAATCTCAATATTCTGGGAAGCCCACCCAGGAGAATCACTTGAGGTCAGAAGTTTGAGACAGGCAAGAGCAAGACCCTATTCTACCAAAAATAGAAAAAATTAGCCCAGAATGGTGGTGCATGCCTAGAGTCCTAGGTACTCAAGAGGCAGAGGCAGAACAGCTAAGCCCATGAGTTTGCGGCTATAGT